TTTCCTATTCTCTAAGAAATGAACAAGGAGAGGGTTGAAGCTACACACAATTCAACATATGGAAATCTAAAAATTCAATCACATTTCAAGGTCAAAGTCAGCCCTTTAGTATCACTTTGTATTGTGAGGCGACCAGTATAAAATAACAAATATATTTAAAGAGATTTCTTGTTACCCAGGTAGTAAACAGCACAACTTTGCTGTAGTTCCCAAGTGTAATAGACTTCACAAATTAAAAGTATAGGTGATTCATTCTAATTCAAATCAATAATATTTGTACAGTGAGTACTACATATGTAAAGACTATCTCTCCTTGTTCATTTCTTAGAGAATAGGAAATAAGATGTCTGGAGTGAACAGACATAATACAAATTGAAAGTAGATGTAAATTTATGTCTTTGAGTTATCAACTAAGAGACAAACATTATCAAAAGAAATCTTCTATATAACAGCCCAATTCAAGTGTGTGTTACTTAGAACAGGCACATTATGAGAACCTTAATCATCCATGTCTGCCTGCAGTGGCACCAAGCATGTGCACTTTCTTGTAGACAGTGTCAGAATAATCCAGTTAGTTACTAAACTCTGGCTTAAGGCCTTAATGTATTGGGTCATTTTACTGTATCAGCATAGTGAACAGTAAGAACATTATTATTAAATAGATGAAGCAAGAGTCAGAGTAATACACAAAAGTTGCTCATTGACATAGAATCATTCAGAAACAGTTACTGGTCACTTAGACTTCTGTGCTGAGATTCCTTTTCTTGCTACAGACCAAATGAAAGGTGGTTATGTATTTGAGTAAAAAGGCAAAAAGATTTATTCAAATCTAGCTTCTAAGAGATGGAGGGCCTCTTTCCCTGAAATCACCACCTCTCCATGTACAGGTGGTGTTACGGTTTCTGTGTAGAGGTCCCCCAAAGCCTCATGCAGTCATGGGTAAGGGGTTGGATGTGCTTGAGCTTCTAGAGTTTGTAATTGATTCGTGGTCCAATGCTGGGATTATGGGTGTAAGTGCTACACCAGCACTGGGGCAGGGGAGCCTGCATACAATATAAGGGAGGGAAAGAGGCTTGCTCTCTTTTTCTCTCCTTCCTTTTTGCTCTTGTGCTTTTGCTGTCTTGCTGTCATAAACTGTTGCTCCTCTGTCGAGGCACCCTGCCTTGCAGCCAGCTTATTATGGATTGAAATCTCCATGAACTGTGAAGTAAATAAACATTTCCTCCTTTAACCTTCGGAGTGGGGTATTTTGTCTCAGCAAGGAGAGAAAAGTAACTAAGGCAGGTGGCAAAGGTCTTTCACAATAAGGGAGAGGAGAGGGAGAACAGAGATTAAATGCAAATATCCACAGGAGCTCTGTGACTTTTAGCCATCTTTACTTCATGTTTTCTTTCCTGTGGAAATCAATTTGGGGCCCAGGCTTCTAGGTGTCAGCATCCCAGTGTTTGCTTTATTTATTTGGGCTGAAGAGAGGTGGGGGGAACTGTTTATGCCCTTGGCCTCAGGAAGCCACTTGTCCTAAAAGGGAAAAAAAAAACTCTAATTTTTGAAGTCCTATTTTGCAGTGCCAGCTACAATTTCCTCTTAGCTTGTTTCAGCCCTCAGTCTTGTGTTCCTTGAGGTGCCACATCAGCTGGCTGGCTGCCTCATATTGGATTGGTGTGTTCGTTCCATCGAAGTTAGCTGGAGCAAAGGGACTCCTGTGGCTTGAGTTTGAAAAGGATTTATACTAAAAATTGTGAAGTCAAATATAAAAGAAAGCCAAAGTGAGGAGATATGTAACCATTATATTTGTTAGAAGGGCATTCTGCTTTTAGACAGTCCTGTATAAGAATCCTCTTATAACCTCTGCACCTCTACTGCTTTTGTTACTGTTGATGGTGTGGACACTCTGATATTTGCAACTTTCTTCCCCTTTCTCTGAATGTATTTTCTTTTCATTTTTTGAAGGCACTGCGTATTAGCCGTCAGCAGCCTTGTCCCTTGCTGCCAAGGTAGCTTTCCCAGGTGA